TGAACTGCCATGCTGTCTAGACCTGGCTGAGGTCTGTAAGACTACTGAGACAATAGCTCTTGCTTCTGCAGGCTGGCCCCTATTATAGGGTCCTTGCCTCTCCCAGCAACACTGGGTGCCCCCTGTCATCCACAATAGGGGAGGCTGGCAGCTGGCACTCTCTCCTCACCTTGACAGAAATCAAAAGTGGAGACGAGGACTTCCCTAGTGACACAGTGGATAAGAATCTGCCTGCCAATGCAGGGGACACGGGTTTGATCCCTGGTTTGGGAAGATTCCACATGCAGGGCAGCTAAGCCTGTGTGCTGCAACTACGGGAGCCTGAGTGCCTAGAGCCTGCGCTCTACAAGAGAAGCCACCAGGTAAGAAGCCTGTGCCTTGTAGCTGAAGAGGAGCCCCTGTGCATCACAGCTAGAGAAAAGTCCACGTAAGCAATGAAGACCCAACACAGCCAAAAAAAAATTACAAAAACATTAAAGATTAAAAAAAAGCAGAGACCATCCGACAACAGGGCCGAGGAAATTCCTAATCGCCTTCTGGGGTGGTCTACCTTTGGGGTGGATCCTAAAGAATACTTTCTTCAGGTATCGTTTTTTTTAAAACAGTTTTTCTGATAGGTGGTACCTCTGAAGTTACTATTTGAAATAAGTTTGGGAAAGAGGAGGAGGCAACCTCTGTGAACTCTGGTGGAGTCAAACATCTTTGACTCTCAAGCCCACAAGACACAGCCCTTCTTAAAAGGACCCGTTAGACATCACCAAGTGAAACCCCAAAGCCGCATTAACAACAGTGAGAAGGAAAGGGGAGCAACTTCAAACAAGCCATATATGGCATCGGACTTTCGACAAGGAGCGGTCTTGTTTCCTGTTGGTCGGCAACCCTGAGCAGCTCACACAGCACAATGATAGGAAAACGCTGAACACACAACAAACCGAGGAATAAACAGCCCCCAGGTTTTTTTTTTTCTTTAAACCAACACAAGTGGCTTGTTGGATTGTGGTGTTTTATTTATATTGCTATGCAACGGAGGGAAAAAAATAAAGGTGATTTCAGTGAAATGCATGGAACTATGCCATGCTATCTGATTGTAGTATCCGAATTTAGACACGACAGATGTTGGGAGGGGTTACGTGTCAGACATCAACCGTGATAACAAATTAAATTAGTGGGGCTCAGGGCTAGGTTTTACTTTTGTTTTGTTAAAATTCAAGGGTGAATACAGTCAGCAGCCCTTAGCCAGGCTCTGGTGGGATCTAGTTGAACGTTTATAAAATCAGAAGCAAGACCTAGGGAAACTTTAGCCAAGCAGCCAGAAGGAGGTTGCAAATCCATTTGTCAAATTGCAGATCACAAAATATACCCCACCCCCGCTTGCCTCTGCGCCTGCCTTCTGGTGAGTTCCTGACAGGAAAGGAAGTGCTGCACCCAGGGGGACCTCAGATGGGCAGGCACAGGAGCATCTAAGAGTGTGTGTAAATATTATGCTTGAAGTCCCGGCAAATGCCTGTCCTTCCAGGAAAATTCTCCCCTGCTCTCTCCCCCTTCCCCAAACTTCCCACAAATCCTCCAGCCAGGAAAAAACAACATAAGAAGCTAGGGCAGGGCTTTTCTGTAGTCAGGTTCCCTTGGTTACAATGAAGGTAGATACTTAGACTATGTATCCCAAACAATCACATTCCTCTAAATCATTAGGCTCTTGTTTCAAGTTCCCCCATTCCCTTTAGTTGTACAGGTATAGACATGGGAGAGCTGCCGGTCCCTGGTCCCCATTCCTTGTGGAACTGAGAGTGAACAAGGCCCCGCTTCTCCTCCTGGGCCCAATCTGTGCAAAGAATCAATCGACAAGTAATAAGTAGAAAGGGTCCTCCAGATAAAGTTGACAATTGGTTATCTGTGCAAATAGCAAAGGCCATGTATATCAAGTTCTCTAGATTCATTAATTCTTTCTACGGGTGCATTCTGTGTGCTGAGTATTATTAGGCACTAGAGATATATTTGTGAACAAGGCAGAAAAAAATTTTCTGCTCTCAGAGTATTCTAAGTTCTAGTGGGGAAAATCCACAAGTACAAACTGAGAAGCTAATGTGTAAATGAAGAAAAGCTGCAAGTTCCTTGGCAGCAAACATACACAGTTTTCCCAGATATTAAGGGACTCTGGGGAAAGAGGGCTAACTTTCATTAATGCTTTCTGTGTGCCAGGCACTTAATAATAATCTTAAAAAATTGAGCACTTACTGTACACTGGGCTCGTGGGAAGGTGAAATCAAATACTTTATGTCTTTCCTTTTAATCTTCTCAACAACTCTTACCCCAACTGTTCAGCTGAGAAAACAAGGCTAGAAATAAGAATAACTTGCTCAGGCACACTCTGCTTGGGATCTCTGCACTTGAACCTGATCCCTTTGTCAGATGGCACTCTCACTCTTGCTCTGTCCTTCTGCTGGGGATGGTGGTGGTGTATCATCCCCTCACCCTTGTCCACCTCCAGTCTACCAGTCCTTCTAAATTCAGCTTAAACATCACCTTCTTCAGGAGAACAGTTCCAACTCATCACTAATGCTATGGACTCTTTAAAAAATTGCTTACTTATTTATTTACTGTGTGTGTGTTTCTATTTATTTATTTGATTGTGTGGCATGTGGGATCTTAGTTCCCTGACTAGGGATCAGACCCGTGTCCTGCAAGTCCCTGCATTGGAAGCATGGCGTCTTAACCACTGAACCATGAGGGAAGTTCCTCCTGTGAACTCCCTAATTAGATAAGACATATAAAAGGCCATGCCTAACCCTAGTGGCTAACACATGGTGGGCATTCAAGCATTGCTTGTTCCTACCTCCCTTCCTTCCTGTGTCAGAGGTGTGAAATTTGTCACTTGATTATATACTGTTGTGTTTGTTGTTGCTCTATGTGCCTTGGTCAGTTCCTCAATTAGATTAGCAGCTCAGGGAACAGTATTTTTATTTACAAATATATATGTCTGATTGTGTGTGCATATGGATATTTATATTTACATATATGCTATTTTTACAAGTCTCATGTAATGATGGTTTAACAGTATGGTTCTCAAACTTGAACATGCATCAGCATTTCCTGGACTTGTTTAAAAAGATCGCTGGGTCTCTCCTCCAGAATTTCTGATTCAGCAGGACTGTGATGGAACTTAGAATGTGCCTCTCTGACAACTTTCCCAGACACGCTCTGGCTCAGGACTCACTTTGAGAACAGCTGGCTAACTACGTGTACCACAGTCCTCAGAAGCATGAAGGCTCAGTTGGAGGCCCACCTCTGCCTCTCATTAGCTGTGTGACCTTGGGCAAGTGGACCTATTTGTGCTTCTGTTTTTCCTTATTTGTATAAATGGGGATAATAATAGTATGCACACCCAGAGTGTTGTGAGGATTAAGTTAATAATGAATGCAATGTGCTTAGCACTGTCTCTGACACAATGAAAATGCTCAATAAATGTTGCCTATTATCCCTGGAAAGGCTGGCATGACATCAGGCACTAAATAAGCTGAACCCAGTCTAAGAATTCCTTCTCAGACTTAGATAAGACCTCTTTTAAGCAGTCAGAGTGTCACTGAAGCATAACACTTATAATTAACAGCTTTGAAATTAAGCCAGACTATTACAAAGTACAAGGTAAAAGGCCTTTAGGAATGTCCCTCCCCATAGCACGCTGGATGCAAATGACCAAACGTACAAAGCCCTGCATAGTTTAGAAACTCAGGACTGTCTGCGGGGTCCCTGCTTCACGCCTCTCTCTGCTGAAGGATGCTGAGGGTGGCAACTTGGCCTCTGAGAGCCTGGAACTGCTGGAGTCACCCAGGCCTCTGGGCTTACGAGTTGGCAGACATCAGTGGCGACCATCTTTCAGTAATTAGTTGGTGTCATGGAAGAAAAGATCCCCAGAGTAGTCGGGACAGTCACCAACCTCCTCTATCCTAGTTGTTTGAAAGCCCTTAGCCCCCTGCTGCTCCCTCCCAGCTCTAAGAACTTCTTCACCCAAAGCAGAATCTATATTTTCCTTCAGGGTCTATCTGAGCAGTTAGAGTGGCTGGCAGTCCCTTGAGGAAGCCCAAGAAGGAAAGTGCACACAAGACAATTCTCAGACCTTGTCTCCTAGTCCTTCAGGGCCTCAGACAGAATATCTAGGAATTCAGGGATGGTCTAGCCTTAATCTTGTTCCAGCAATACGGGAGACAAGGGTCGTGGCCCTATCTGTGAACAATATTAGTGAACCACTAATCCCTGGAATGTTGTTCATTCAATGCAAAGTTGAATGAGATCATCTCTGGGAGCAGTAGTATTTTGCAAAGCCTGCTGGCAAGGACGTTGTGGGGTGGTGCTGCCGCCCCTTGGAAGCCCCTCCCTTCCTCCCATTCCCTTACAGAACACAACCCCTTACTTCCAACCCAGCGGTACCCTCCCCTAAAATTCAGAAAAAGGATGACCTCGCCAATATCACTTCCACTGCTACCCCCGATTTCCCACATATGACCACCACGGCCAGGGGCTGTCTTCACACACTTTGGATGGGGCACCACCTCTGGCAGTCCCGGCGCCCTGGCCAGGCCCCGGCTCCAGCCGAAAGGCAGAGCGAGAAGGGGGTGTGTGCACTGGGGTGGGGGTGGGGGGTGCGGGGTGCGTGAGGGAATCTGGAGGTAAGGAGAAGCTGGTGTCCCCGCATCTGGTGTCATCAGGCTCCAGATGAAAAGCAAGGCAGAGAGGTTCTTCAATGGCAAGAGCCACAAGCACGGGGTCTCCCCGCTTCTCACCATTTTTCTTTGCTCGATCTCTCTCTCGGTTCTCTCCCCCTCCATCCCTCTCTCCCTCCCCCCACCCCCTTTTGTCTGCCTGTTTCTCACCTCCGCCTTTTGGAACACCCAGCCTTCAGGAGCCGGGATCGGACGCCGCAGCGGTCAGCTCTCTGGGGACCCCAGCCCTGCGCCCCCGCCCGGCCCCCTCCCCTGCCCGGCCCTCCCCGCTCCGGGTCTCACCCAGAAGAGCAGGTTGAAGCCGAGCAGCAGGTACTTGATGCACCGCAGGCCCCCGCGAAAGGGCCCCATGCTGCGGCCCCGGCGGCGGGATCCGGAGTCCCCAGGCCCGGGCTCCGAGCGCCGGCAGCCGGCGGGGAGGGGGCGGAACGCGATGGACTGTGGGCGGGGCCTGCGGCGGGTGGGGCCTGCGGTGGGCGGGGCGGCGGGCGGGGCGGGAGCCCGCACCGGGTGAGAGGATCGCCGAGGACCCGAAGTCCGCTGGCTGGCTAAGGGTGGGGGCGCCGCGGGCCGGGGATCAAAAGCCCAGAAGGAGCGGGTACCCAGCTCTCCCCCGGAACGAGGGAAGGCTGCCTCCGTCCCTCCCCAGGCCGGAGGAAGCGCCCCGCAGGCGCGCGGCTCGCGGTGATTATCGGAGCATCTGCGAGAAAGGAGCGTCCACTGGGAACCCGAGACCCATTTAATCAGCGCTCTGTGCAGACTCATTTGAGGCCTGCGGTGATGGTTGAGAATAAGGACACGGCCCTGGTGGCTATGGAAACCTGGGAAGGTGGCCTCGGGTAGAAGAGATAAGCAGGACCCAAGGCTGCCCAGAAGCTGTCAGTACCCGTCGCGGGACACCCGGCCCGGGGCACACGGGTCCCAAGCTGTGGTTTCCCAGCGCCTTGCCAGCGCACAGGCCGCGCAGTAGCAGATTCTAGGGGACCCTCCCTCGGCTCCTCCCGCGCTTCTCCAGAACTCTTACCTTAATAGGCAAGAACTGGGAGAAGACGCGGGATGAGGCTTTCCTGCGTCCAGAAGGTTGTTCCCCACGCTGCACGGCCTGGCCTGCGGAGAGGGGTCTGACAACCCTGGTCCTGATGGATTCGACAGTAGAAGCCCTTGGAAAGGGATGCAGAACCTCAGGGATTATTGTGATGTGGTGATGGGAGAAAAGCGGGAGCAGGTTTTGTTTTGCTTTATTAATATAAAACCGCTGGTGGGGAAGCCAGGCTCCCACTCCCATTGACTAAGTGTCTGCAATATGTGGTGCCAGACAGTACGGCGGGGGCGACAAGAAAGTGTGAAATCCAGGGAGCCTATGCATTAATTCAGTAAAACTTCAAGTGCCTCTTATATACTAGGGATAGTAGCAAGCCTCAGGGACTCAACAATGAGGAGACAGCCAGGCCTGGCCAGATGACTCTGGTGGTAGCGACAGATCTGTGAACAAATAGTTATAGGAAGACGAGGGCAAGGCTCTGGTAGGCACCTCCTAGCCTCAGGGCATCGGGCAGGGAAGGCATTACTGGGGAGAGTGGGCCTGAGCAGGTCCTGAATGAGTCTGAGAGAGAGGAAGAGCAGATGGGGCAGCTTGGGCAAAAGTACAGGCTGGAGAGGCAAGGGCCTTCTGCCAGGACTGTGAGAAGGGAGGGAGCCCAAATGGAGCAGAGGGAGGTGAGAGGGGACGGTGCTAGGGCACAGCTTTCAGTCAGGTCACCAAAGTGCAAAACAACGCTGGAGCCTCCGTTTCCTCATCTGCAACATGGAGATAACAGTACATACATCATAGAGTTGTGAAGATTAATAAGTCAATATTTGTAAAGTGCCTAGAACAATGCATGGCACAGAGAAAGAACTGTAAGGGTTAGCTTTTACCGTGTCTTAGTCTACCTGTCAGTTTCTACCATGTTGCCATCTTTGCCTACCTCTATGTCTTTGGACATTTGTTTGAATATCTCATGCATTTTTCTTTTCTTTTTTTCCTTTTTTGCAAGAGCCTTGAGTATGATCACATTGTCAGTCTTTTTTGTTTGTTTGTTTTGTTTTCACTTTTCCAGATATTTTTTTTTCCATTTATTTTTATTAGTTGGAGGCTAATTACTTCACAACATTTCAGTGGGTTTTGTCATACATTGACATGAATCGGCCATGTAGTTACATGTATTCCCCATCCTGATCCTCATGCATTTTTCTTATGAAAATGAATAGAAGACAGAAAAATGAGTGTGCAGGTTCCAGTAATAAGCGTAAGCCCCAAATAGTGAAATAGTTATTAGGTATGCAGAAAGAGGCATATCTCTAGCTTCAAACAGCTTGTCATCTCTGACCTATTAAAAAAGAAAAAAACTAAATCAAAAAATAATGTCTAGTACATAGTAGACATTCAACAAGTCTCTGAAATAAATGAAAAACAATGATGTCATACTTCAAATATATTGTTGGATATTATGTCTCCAAGACAAACTACATTTAGAGACTATTCTAGGCTTTTTAGGAAAGAATCCATATTATAAATTTATTGTTCTTTCATATTACAATTTTAGTACACATGTAGTAGAGACAGATCATTGCCTACTAACATAACGGATATAGATTTTGAGTGTAGACTTCCCCAGTCACTCCCTCCAACAAAGCTGTGTCTTAGGGGAGCTGACTCTTGATAGGACTAGGGCATTCTAACTGATAACACATGTTCAAGAGTAGATTATTATATGAAAGTAGGAAACTCCATTAAATAAGGAAGTTAGCCTTTAAACTGGATGTTATGCAAAGCTAGAGACAGAAACTAAGCAGGGGTAAGATGGTTAGATTTCTATTTTTAGTCAAATTGGGGCTGTGTGGAGGATGCCTTGAAGTGAAGACTTGAAGCTAATTAAGAGACTAAAACAGCAATGCAGGGATTCCCTGGTGGCTCAGTAGTAAAGAATCTGCCTGCAATACAGGAGACAGGTTCGATCCCTAGATCAGGAAGATCCCCTAGAGAAGGAAATGGCAACTTGCTCCAGTGTTCTTCCCTAGGTAATCCCATGGACAGAGGAGCCTAGGGGGCTATGGGATCCATGGGGTCACTAGAGTCGGACGTGACTTAGCAACTAAACCACTACCCATAGCAATTCAGATAAGAAATGAGAACCTGAACCAAGACAGGGGTAGTGGGTTTAGGAAGCAGGCTCAGATTTGAGTGATATTCAGACTTGATGAAAGACCAAGACAGATTGGATGTAAGAGGTAGAGGGGAAAGAGAAGAAAGGATGACTGCTGAATTTCTTACTTGGGTAAGTAACCAGACAGATCATGGAACCATTAACAGAGATACACTTTTAGAAGGTGAAGCAGGCTTGGGGGAGAATGTTACAGACACTGTAGGTGGACTCACCTGTCACCCAATCCTACATCCAATTTAGAGGATAGGAATGCTAAGAACTTGCTTCCTGGTTTCCTTTCCAGCTAGGCATGGTCGTATAACACAGTTCTGATTAATGGAATTTATATGAAAGTCTGTTGGAAGGTTTCTGGAAAACCTGAAATTGTCTTGAAAAAAAGGTTCAGCTATCACTGGCATTGCTCCCTTCTCTTTTTTCCTGTCTTGAACTCAGACATGATGCCTAGAGCTGTAGAACATTTTGTGACTGTGAGGAAAGGCCAAGAGATTGCAGACTTGCCAGCCAGGAGATCACTGAACTGTGGAACCAACACCAGCAGCCACCTAGCTCCAGATTTCTTGTTATGTAAGAAAAATAACCCTTATTTTGTTTGACACATATATTCTGTTATTTGCGGCTGATGATATTTTAGCCGACATAGGGAGATAATACGTTCGTATTTGGATCTCTTGAGTTTTAGATCTGATGGGAATTCCAGATAATGTGGTCCAGGAGACAGATGGAAATAATGATTGGGATTCTGGAGAGAGGTTTGGACTGTAAGTTTAGGTTGAAGATTCATCAACAAATGCTGATAATAGAAGCCAATGTTCTCCAAACTTTTGTCCACACATTCCCTAAAATAATTATGAAAAATTATACCCTTCTTTGCACATTTCTCCAAATATTTTATTATGAATATTTTCAAACATACAGAAAGTTGAAATAATTGAGCAGTAAACACCATATACTCACTGCCTAGATTCTACATTTTGCTTTAGTTACATTACTTACCTCTACATCTATCCATTCATCAATTTATCTTATTTTTTAAGCACTTATAGATAAATTTTAGGCATTAATGCATTTTACCTCTAAACTGTTTAGAATGACTAACAGTAAGTAGAGTTCTAATATTTGTTTATACTTTTTAAAGATAAAATTTATTTGAATGAAATGTTCACATACCAGTCAATGATTTTTGACAAATATGTTTGCCTTTCTAACTCCAAACCCTGTTAATGTATAGGATATTACTGTCACCACTGGAAAGTTTCCTTGTACCATTTCCTGGGCAGTACATGGCCCCATCTCTTCTGGGGAAAACTACTGTTTTTATATTTTTACTATAGATTAGTTTTTCTTGGTATATAATATCATATAAATAGAATTTTACAGTATTTATTCTCATGCATTAAATTGACACATAAAATTATGTGTTATAAATTTGAGTGTATGCAAAAGATGTTATTCTGATGTATTTTAAATATTTTGAAAGAAAATGATCACATCCCTCATTTTAATGCATTCAGTAGAAACTAGTGTGATCTGCTACCTACCATCATCCAAGTTTTCTTTTTCAGATTTAATATCTGAAATGACAACATGAAATTTTTGATCAAGACTTTTAGATGATGTTCTCTTCAATTTTTAAACATTTATGAGCAGCTTAATTCAAAATAATTTCTTAAATTGAGGTATAATTGACATGCAACATTAATTTTTGGTGTAAAACATAATGATTATCATTTATATATTCATCATCTGTTAAAAATACATAAACAAGCTCCTTGAAAGTTTTACATCTTTCTTTTTTCTCCTTGAACTTGTATTTTATTTCAATGAAATGTAATCCTAAAGCAATGCATTTTTATGCTTGAAATATTTTTCTTGAATGTTCTCTTATACTTGTCTGAACAAATATTTTTATATGTTTATTAAAAGAGATTAAATGTTTCCTCCTGAGACCAAAAAGCTTCAAGTTTTAATTAATTTCTTCTAGACTGAGTATTATTAAAATTATTCTTAGTATGCAATTGATTAAAATAACAAATACATCTTAAATAAGCAATCATTAAACATAGAAATAAAATATTCCTGGAAATGTGTCTGTTAATGAGATTGGTGGGGCTGGGATTTTTTTTTACTAGCTCATGTATCCATGAA